GCACTGTGTAACATAACGAGGTTTCTCTAATTGCGTTGATGTTTTAATTTGCCACAAAACTTTTGAACTTGTAGGAATTAAAGGATACTCATACATTTACCACGACCTAAAACTTATTGAAATTAATGGATCCTTTTCAATAAATTTTAACAATTTAACTTTGTTATTGTCAGAAGGTAAAACGTATGGAACCATCCATTCAAGTTTATTGATGAAAATTTTGAATTCCTTATCCCCTCCTTGTCCTATTTAAATTACGGCATTCACGTCAGAACATGCTCTTGTTAAAGTAAGTTCATGTTTAGCGTTCATAATGATTTTTTTATAATCTTCAGCAAAACCAAAAACCAGCGTCAGCTGCAATTTTTGAATACCCAGCATTTTCAATAAAATTTAACTGAGTTGGTGTTTTCGAGGTGTAATTTTTCATGATTGTAGTATGTCCAACTAGTGCGATTCGAATTTCATCGCTATTGTTAAAAGATGAAGATGCATACGGTTGATGAGCATGAATTTCATAATGAGCTGTGGACTCATCAAAATTTACTGCTGCTGGAATATTGAGAAGTTCGTCCATTTTTATTGCAACAGCAACCAAAAAATATGTAAATTAATTGTCTTGTTGTCTTATTTTCTTTCCTTGAACTTTTAGACCTAGTTCTTTCAGAAAGAGGCGATTCTGAGGTGTTAACATCTTGTGAGAAAAATTTAGACTGATTGGACTCTTGCATATTGGTTGACTTTTATAGTTTCCACCAACAACAGCTATTTGATTATAAACGATTCCCATTACAAAGACTTTATATGCAATCGAATTGTTATAGTTTCTCCTCTAAAATTTATTAAATCACCGTCCTGATCAAAAATTCGCAGCTGTATATTATGTATTGTCTTGGTGGCAATCGGAAGCTAAATGACGTGTGCAGGCACTTCCACAATCTTATATCCTGGTGGAACGCTGGGAAAGAATTCATGGATAGTGTGAACTTTTTGGTTATTTATATACGCTCCAGATGTTATGTTGCACTCAATTCTAACTGAATTGACCTTTAAAATGGCTACAGGTAAATCAGAAATAATATGTGCTCTATGAGATGAGACCAAGTACATAACTTTTATTTGAATTTAGTTCTATTGGAGGGAAATATTCAGCTTCAAGAACTGAAGAATTTCCTGCTAACGTTAAAGTAAACGAATCACTCATGTTGCTGTCAGATTTTATACTGAAAGCTTACAATAGTTACACACTTTTATAAAGGATAAAACAACTCTTAATATTTAGTTGATTACACAAAAATTTGAGACACAAGTGTCCACATACAAATGTATCAAAATTTTGATATCTTTTATGATTTTATTTTATTAAGCTCACCTAAGTAAATGACAAGATCTGTTGGTGGAGCAAGGTTGCCAAAACTATCAAAATACATTGTTTCATTATTAAATTTTTTTTATATGCTACCCAATTTGTTCCAGCACCTTCTTTACTATCAAGATTAATTATTCTTGATTCACACTTGTGAGGACAACTAACAGGTTTTTTTTTCTTCATGTTTGATTATTAATTCCTTTTCCTTGAATGTAGGGTTTCAAGTGGAGACCAAGTCCTTGTCGATAAGGTTTAAGGTGTAAACCTTTTCCAAGCGATATGGCTTCCATAGTTCTATTGTGACGTTAAGCTTCTGCAAGCTGTTCACTAGCTGTTTTAGCCTTATTAACAGCTCTTGCTATTCCTGAAGCTCCTCCAGCAAGAGCTCCTAAAGCACTAAGTCCAGCAAAAATTGGAACTAGCGGTAAAATTCCACCTACTTTAGTAGGTACAGGAAGAATTCTAGGTGATAAAATTTTGTATTTACCACCAACATTTTTTATTGCTTTTTGGGCACCAATCATAGCTGCTCTTATTGATTCTTCGGCATTATTACTGGGAAACATACTTTTTCGAGCAGCATCAACAATTTTCTTTAGCGCTATTTGCTTCTTCTTACACATTGTTTTACTCTTTTTTTTCTTTATAGCTGATTTCCTTTCCATTCCCATGCCTAATTTTAATTTAGCTTTCATGGTTCCGGATATAGCTAAAGCAGCTGCTCTTTCACTTACACCAAAATCTTTAGCTGTAACACGTTCCCACGCTTTCTTAGCTAATACTTTATCTGCTTCGTTTCTTGCTTCAATATTTTCACGATTTTGCGAATATGCAATGTCGTGTTGTTTACATGCAGCGTCCAGTGGATTAATTCCTTGGTCACCTCGAGACAAACGCTTTGCCAACTTTGTACCAGGTCCACAGAATTGATATCCTGGTAAATGTAACTCAATCTGTAAACTATTGATGATACGATTGATTAAACCTTTTCCTTGATAGCGACCTTTTTTTACCTCCTGATGCAGAATCATACTTCACTCTACAATGGTTGACGTGAAAGTGATAAAATTGACTATAAAAGCTGGGTATTTATAGATTTTAGGCAGTTACTGTCAAGATGCAGTTCACGAAACAACCTATCGCACTGCCAATCTCTAGTATTAATGTTGAAACTAATGAAAAAAAGATTAAACGTCACGGTAGTCTGTTTTCAGACAGCATTAGAGCAGTTTTCTGTGGCCCCTCAAATTGTGGTAAAACGAATGCTCTTCTTACCCTAATAATACATCCAAATGGTCTAAGTTTTGAAAATATTTACCTCTACTCTAAATCTCTACAGCAGCCGAAATATAGGTTTTTTTAGAAAATGTAATCAGTCAGGTAGATGGTGTTGAGTATTTTCCATTTAGTGAACATGAAGAAGTAGTATCTCTAAAAGATGCTAAAGCAAATTCAATATCCGTTTTTCATGACATTGCTTGTGAAAAGCAAGATAATGTTAGAGCATTCTTTTGTATGGGCAGAAATGTAAATGTTGACAGTTTCTATTTATGTCAAACGTATGCTCGTATTCCTAAACATCTAGTTCGAGATAATGTTAATTTATTGGTTCTATTTAGACAAGATAAAAAGAATCTGAAACATGTATATGGATATCATGTTAATACAGATATGAGTTATACTTAATTTCGTGATTTATGTTCAGAATGTTGGAAATTGGACAAATATGGATTTGTTGTTATTGATAAGGACCGTAACTTTAATGAAGGAAGAGGTTGCTTCATTTCACTATAAATACAAGAACAGTATTGAATTTTTCATTAGTATAGTTTATCTTGTTTCGAAAAAAACATGTATCGAAAAGAGCAAGAAACGCTTCGACAAATAGCAAAAGCAAGTGATGCTATTAGGCGGAAACATCGTTTACTCAAAATGGGTAAAGAGGCTGCAGAAATAACATTAAAAGAAACTTTTCAACCAATAGTAACACCCCTGGAAAAGTTGGTGAACATAACTGACATACCTTTCAAAAATATTAAGAAAGAAAAAGTTAAAAAGGAGGAAAATGATTTTTCTTTCTGAACTGCTGTTGATGAGAAAGAGAAATTTGATAAAACACTACACAATGTCACTCTACTTGATAAGAGCAACAACTTTGAAGAAAAAGAAGAAGAAGAACTTAATTATGAAAATTTGACAAATAAATTTATTCAATTATTGAATAAAAACAGGAAAAGTTTTTTTAGGCATGGTTTATGGAGTACATAAGCTTCCTAATGGTTCTTTTATTATTGGTGATACACCAGTTGATTTAGAAGGTCTACATATTCAACTTGCTGGAAAGAAAAAATATTTAAAAACTGCTGGGTTGATTGAACTTTTATTCGAACAAAGACCTAATCATGCATTAATAAGTCCAGATAATTTGGAAAATTATAAAAAAATTCTTGTAGCTACAAATGCACACCGAAAAAATTATAGTTCCAGTGGACTTGTCAACGTAACCAGGAATGCTAAATACACTGATGTCATTGCAAAACTTTTTTAAGGTTAAACCAAAGAAGGGAAGTGGTGTTTTAAAGAAGAATCTTGGAAGGAAATTACCTCAATTTATGATTTCAAAGAAACAATTTGAACCAGACTATATCTATTCGGATGATCCAAATGAACTAGTTGACCGATTACGCCTGCTAGTAGCATCACAGCAAGCTGGTAATCCAACCCATAATAATGAAATTATGTCAATCATCGAAGAACTACGTGAAGCTCGCATTATATATTAGGAGAGTACAAGCAAATAGAGCTTAGTATTAAAATGAGCATTGATGTGTTTGGACATCCCTTGTCACGGCCTCTTGCAAGTCGTGGACTTCCTGGACCTTCTGGAATTGATTTTAAAATTACTCCAAGTAAACAATACGACATTGATAAAAAAAGACTTTGCAACGTTCAAGACGCTGAAGAGCAACAAGACGCTGTAAATTTAAGACTTGCACAGAAAATTATTAAAAACGAGATAAAAACAGTTTTTCAAATTACATCTTCTTTAACATCAGCTATTGATGATTTGAATCTTTATATCCGAATTATCGAGGATAGAGTAAACGAAAAACTTAAAGAAACTGAATCACAGCAAAATTACATTATCCAAGAAGCTAACTTTATTCAACAGTGATGGCTGATCAAAAATTAACAGTTGTAACTGAACTGCATAAATAAGCTATAAGAAATTATCCTCGTCGAAAAGTTCAAATGCGTGGTATAGATGAAACCTGGCAAGCAGATTTGGTTGAAATGATACCTTATTCTTATTCTAATAAAGATTTCAAATACATGCTCACAGTTATAGAAATATTTTTCAAATATGCCTGGGCTGTAGCTGTAAAGAGGAAGAATGGAAAGGATATTTCTTTGGCCATGAAAAATATTCTTAAACAAGGCCGAATTCCAAAAAATTTGCATACTGATAGAGGCAAAGAATTTTACAATTCTGAATTTAAGAGTTTAATGCAAGAATTTAACATTGATCTCTATTCTACCTATAGTAATTTGAAAGCCTCAATTGTTGAAAGATATAACCGCACTCTAAAAAATATGATGTAATATTAATATTAATCTTTTACCAACTCTAATGTCAAAGTACAATAATAAAAAGCATCGTACTATTGGTATGAAACCCAAAGATGTCACCGTAGAAGATACAAGAGAACTGTTGAGACGTATCCGTAAACTACGTAGAATTCCGCTGAAAAGATCAAAATTTAAAGTTGAAGACAGAGTTTGAGTTAGTAAATTTAAAAATATCTTTGAGAAAGGATATACTCCCAACTGGACAACCGACAACGGAAATATTTACTGTGGAAAAAGTTAAATCGACAAAACCAGTTACATATAAGCTGAAAGATTATCAAAATCAACCCATTGAAGGTGGTTTCTATGAAGAAGAATTTCTGAAAATCCAATATACAGATGTTTACCTCGTAGAAAAAGTTCTCAAGACTCGTGGTAATGATGTATACGTGAAATGGCTTGGATTCGATAGCTCACACAATAGTCGGATAAAAAAATCTGATATGTAATATAGTTAAAGTCTAGTTAAAATAAGTTAAAATAAGTTAAAGCAGAGTTACAGAAACGTTTGTTAAAGTAACGTTAAATTAAGTTAAAGTAACGTTGAACTAACGTTAAAGTAAAGTTAAACTAACATTAAAGTAAAGCTAAAGTAACGTTAAAATAAGTTAAAGTATTGTTAAAATAAGTTAAAGTATTGTTAAAATAAGTTGAAGTAACGTTAAAGTAACGTTAAAATAAGTTAAATTAAGTTAAATTAATGTTGTTTGTCGTCATAAGGATTTAAAGCAATCTTTGTTTGCTTTAACGTTTGCACCTTGTGAAGATTCGATCTGATAGTATACTGAGTTCTAGATTGCATTTTAACATTTTGCAGACAATAAACATAATCATCAAAGTCGATATTTTTCTTGACAACTCCTGCTTTGACACCTTTAGCCTTTTTTATAAAATTCTTTATCTTCTACACGGACGCTGTACATGTTGCTCTGCAAGCCAACAAATTTTGTTACAATTTTTCCGCAGCATTCATCCTTTATGACACCTAATATCTTTTTGTTGGCTTGCGGAATATTGTACACGTTATTAACCGGATGATCAGAAGTGTCGAATTTCATAATGTCTTGTTTCATATCGGCGTAAATGTCTGAGCACTTGATTTCATAAATCAGGCTATCGGTGTCGGTGTACAATAATTTCAATGTATTTTCATCATACTTGTTTAACATGTAATCGTAGTGAAAATCATAAATAAGCGTTTTTGACACATCCAAAACAGTCAAGCCAACATACGCCGGCTTGTTCATTAGTACCTCAATTTTCCTAAGTTCCACAGCAACCAAATTCTAATTAAAGATGGCTCTGCTGTGGAAGTTAGGTTTGGAGATTAAGGCTTCAGCTCCATACCTACCCTCCAACTTTGTCACAAGTTTAATTTCAACATGTTTTCGCACGTTCTCCATTGTTTTGACAAATACCGCGTTGTTCATCAATTTAAACAAATTTTTCTCAAATTCATTACTAGCGTTTGTTCTTCGCATGATATTAAAGTCTATGTAACTTTTCAACCATGTGGATTGTTCGAATTTTAAGACGATTCTTCAATTCGAAGAAGATTGACGTGATTCATCTTCTTTTGAGATGAAAGATGAAGAGGTGAAACTGTAAACTTCTCATCTTTTTTAACAAGACCATACAAGTTGATTGAAATGTTGTTTAGGGTTTCAAATTTAGTAATGTCTTTAAGAGAAACAGGAAATTCGATACCACTAAAATTAAGTGTATCTTCATAGGGTCTGTATTTTGAAACTCGATCTGCGTGTTTGTCTGTTGGGTATAGGGCTGACAATATTGCCCATTTAAAACACTGATTATTATCAGCATTTTGGACATTAATGCAGGCATGCTTTCCATTGATAGATGTTGGCAAATGGATATAAGAACTTGCGCGCATAAGATTGTACTTGTTAATGTTAACCTCCAACCTTTCAATAGAATGAAGTCTCCAATTAGAATCTTTCTCTTGGAATTCCTCCATTCTTTCTAAGGTTACTTGTTTAACATAAACATTGTACCAGTCATCTAATGGGGTTGTAACTAAAATTTCACCGGTTTTCGCGATGAATGTCTTTAAATCTGATATTTCTTGGGTTTTACCGTCAATGGAATCTTTAACAAATTTCGCGAACAATACGGTGTAAACTTTTAGCGGACCAAACCTGTTTAAAGCTTTTTCAATGTTAACTTTAAATAAACTAAAGGCATCATCAAGGAATTCATTAATATCCTTGTAATCTAAATTCATTACAGCACTATTTTGTAAACGACCCTCAAACGCTTCTTCAAAACCCACCCACTTCATTCCTTCATTCACTACTTCAACACCTGTACCACGTTTCATTAGACCATTAAAATGGCAGCGCAAGTATTCCATTTTTTGTCTTAAATTTAAGCACCTAGATCTTTGAGATGAAGAAAAATCAGACTTACGTAAAAAGTTTCAGAAAATGTTTATATACCGTTGACACTTCGTCGCTTGGGGGCAGCAACATGCCGACTCAGCTAAACGGTGAAAAAGATGCCGTTTCAAAAAGCAAAGTGAAAAACATGCCATTTCACAAATCCTGTGGAAACTATGCCTCGCCGCGAAAGCGCTGAGAAACATACCTTCTCCAAACGAACGGTGAAGAACATGCCTTTTCAACCGTTAATATTATATTAAAAAGGCTGAAAAGGCATGTTCTTCACCGTTCGTTTGGAGAAGGTATGTTTCTCAGCGCTTTCGCGGCGAGGCATAGTTTCCACAGGATTTGTGAAATGGCATGTTTTTCACTTTGCTTTTTGAAACGGCATCTTTTTCACCGTTTAGCTGAGTCGGCATGTTGCTGCCCCCAAGCGACGACTTGTTCTGACATTCAAATACTGTACCATTTTCTCATCGCTAATCATAGCCATCGTTGAAATAAGCTGACGTTCCGCTATTGTAATGAAGTTGTCAGATTCTTGACACATTTCATTGTAGTCGTCCATGTAAATACGTTGACGAGACTTCTTTGAAGATTTGCACTTTGGCATTTTGATAGCTAAATCTGAAAAAAACTTTTAAAAATACGTCTAAAACTAAGAAAAACCTGAAAAAACTCAAACTAAAAAAAAATCCTGAAAATAAACAACTAAAACTAAAAAAAAACCTGAAATAGAAAAAACACCACCTTAAAACTAATACAAAATAGAACAAAAAAACCCTAAAATAGAAAAAAAAACACCACTAACTTAAAACTAATGCAAACTAGAACACAAAAATTTAAAAAAAAAACCTATAATAAAAAATCAATAACTCCTAAATTCAAAACGAAAAAAAAACTCTGACAATTATCTCTGAAAATTAACTCTGAAAACTCTGTAAAGAAACTCTGGAACCCTGAAAACCTGTAAGTAGACTGCTGCACCATTCAAGATGCAACTGATGTTTGTGCCCCGCGCTCCGTAACTTATACCCCAGTCCCCACTATACTCACCTCCCCACTGCGAAACTCCCCACTACTCCACAGGCGCGCGCAACTCTCATACCACAATGTAGTAAATGCCGACTACCGGCGACATTCACTTAGTGGCGCGAAATTTAAAATTATCCCTTCTAACCCACTTGAAAGTTTAAAAATAAAATATTTAAATTTCCCGTCAAGGGGGTTCGAATTCACAGGTGGCGCCATCTCTCGGTAGCAGCCGGTACTAAAACTCGGTCGGTTAAGTAGAACACCCCTTCTAACCCACCTAAAAGTGAGCTATTAAGAAATCGACCTTACCGACCGTCTATAACTGGGCTAGAACCCGTGTAGCTTAACTACTCCAGTAGAAACATTAGTGCTAATGTATGTAACAGTGTCTGACATAAAAAAGTGGAGGGGTTTCAATTTGCAAAAGAATTTTAGGTAATTTATGGATGACCTTTAACGATACATATAAGGTTTAAACGCGTTTTTCTCAAAATAACGTTTTTTCAAATTGCGGACACTTTATCTCTGAATCTACTAAACCGATTTTAATAAATAATAAGTCATTTTGTTTGTAGCATGTCCTGTGTGTGAATTCACCTGAAAATAGTAAAAAAAATTTAAAAAAAACATTTTTGCAGACTAGAAAAATACTGAAAAACATAGTGTATTTTTAAAAAAATTATTTAAACATCTGCTATTTTTTTATTTTAGTCGATTTTTCATTACCTTTAGTGGATTTCTATGCAAGAAACCTTCCTTTTTAAAAAGCAGTTTGGATTTTTTGTTTCCGATTTGTCAATCTTGAGATAAACTGTCCGCAATTGGACAATTAACTTTTTGGAGTTTCGATATGTATGCTGTCTGCAGATTATATTACATAAAAATTAAAAACAAACCATTATTTTTATTCTCCAAATATGTACTAATATAGGCAAAACAGTTTTTTTTCATATTTATAATAAAAGACCTAAGAAAAAAAAAATTTTAAATTTGGTCTTTTAAGAGCCTTCTAAAGTATAGTAGTACCTTAAATTTCTAGCCATATCCGATTGAAAAATATTGATGCATAGCGGCCACTTTAAAATAATTAAATTCATAATGAGTTCAGTAATTTTGGAGGTTTCATGAAAACCTATGTAGCTTTTTTTACACAGCCTTAAACACTGAAAAATGGATTCATTTTTGAGAAATAAATAACTTCAACAATTTTATTTGTGTCGTATACTCATCACTAGAGCGTATCATCGCTTTGAAAAATAGTTTAAAAGTTTTAGCATTCGTAAAAGATTACAGGAAAAATAAAGCAAACATGATTAGAGTTTATCTTCATAGAGTTTTTCGCGAAAAAATAAAGAATTTTTTGACAATTTTGTCAAAAATGCATGTACCCCCTGGCGCTAACAGTTTTCTTATTCAGAGAGCTAATTTTCCAACCTACATATTTTCGAGGGTAGATCACAAGAAAAATATGTCAAAAATGGGACGCATGAATAATCTCTAGAAATCATTAGTAGAAGTTTTAAATAATTGAATTTCATTTATTAGAATTTCATTTTTTCGAATTTTTGTTTAATCGATTTTAAATTGACCCGAATATTTCCATTAACAGAATTATAAATACTCGAATTTTTATTTATGAAAATTATCATTTAACACAATATTTCCATTAATGATACTTTCTATTAAAATGAATTCTTATATATACGAATTTCTATTTACAAGAACTCTTCTTTTACATTATTTCTACTTGGTCAAATTTTGAAAAGACAGAATTTCCATTTCGGCAAATCTTCATTTGTCCAAATGTTTATTTTCATGAATTATCATTTGACAGAATTCTTAAAAGAACGAATATTCATTTGTGCGAATGCTGCTAAAAGAAAATTCTAATAAATGAAATTCAATCATTTAAAACTTCTAACTAATGATTTCTAGAGATTATTCATGCGTCCCTCAAAAATAATTAGAGTTGATCTTCTTGTTACTTTCATCGAAAAATTCAGATTTTTTTGACAATTTAGTCAATAAAGTGTGTACCCCTCTCTAGCTCTCTTCGATCTAGTCAAGAATTAATTTAACGGGTTACACCACTGTAGACATTTCAAAAAATAAATTTTTTTGATAAGTTTATTTAGACAATTGTTATAAACAATTAAGGGTCGTTTTTGCTTGAGAAATGAGTTTTTTCTTCAAATGCTTACCAGCTATTCTCATCAAAAACGCATTTTAAAGGTTGAACAGGGCCATATAAAAGTTTTGAGGTATGGTCTACTTGCACTAATTTTCATAAGTTCCTTTATGTGCATGAGTTTTTATTTTAAGAAGTAAACATTTTCATTTAGACATTCCAAAAAAAAATTTTTTTTTCTTTTTCGGGCTTTTTCACATTATATTAACTTTTTTATCAGGGCACTTACGGAACACTACTTTCTTACGAATTCTCACGGTACTTCAACGCTCTCTACCCTTCCTTTTCTTTTCACCAAAATTTGTAAACAGTCACAGCAGAGGGATTGACATGAGCAGGACTTCAGTGTATAATGTAAATAATAAGAGTTCAGTACGTTTACGAAACCTTCGATTTTGGATAGAGTTCAACTCACACTTGTCCAATTTTTTAAAATTTTGTTTAGAAGTAGAGAATTCAGGGACTTTAAAAAAATCATCAATTTACACTTTCTGACAGTCATTTTGAATGATCAACTACATTTTCTGAATCATCGGACCTAAAAACATGCTACACGGTGGGCTTGAACCAACTTTAAATAAAAAGTCTTGCGAAATAGAATATTTTTGTGGATCCTAACACTGGAGACCTCCCTGAGTATTTTGCAACAAAAATTAAAATAATCCATCGGGCTGTTTTTGAAAAAAGTAGATTTTAGTATTTCCATCCTGAACTCTGTATACAAGCACTTTAAAAAAAGTACAAAATCAAATTTAATTTCAATTTCATGAGTGTAAAATAGTATTTTGGATCGCATAATCTGAATTTGATGTTGGATTTAAGAATTTCAAAATGTCGAATCCAATATTGCGACCAAAAAGTTTAAAAATTGTTTAGATCTACTTGAACCTCAATACTTGAGGGTTTTCGGGGTCATTAAACCTGAATTCAATGTTAGGTTATGAAAATTAGAAATGGCGGATCTAATATGTCGACCAAAAAGTTTAAAAATTGTTTAGATATACTTGAAACTCAATTCTTGGGGGTTTTTGGGGTCGCTTAATCTGAATGCAATGTCAATTTTTGGAAATTAGAAATGGTGGATCCAATATGGTAAACAAAATTTTTAAAATGGTATGTGGATTAAATGGTCTCCATTGTTGAAATATTTTTTAACCCTTGGGCGGGCAAGCTAAAAAAATTACGTAAGCGGGTAAGCGGGGTCCATTGGACCCCGCTTTAAAAGCGCTTACAAAAACGTAGATCTTTGTATATATTTTGTTTTCTTTTTATTATATTATGAATTTTAATGAATTAAATTTAAAATATAAAAATGATGATTAAGATTTTAAATTTAACGAACTGTTAGATTTGCGAAGTATCCTGGAAAATACACACACTGTTCTGAGTGCAAGGCAGGATTAATTTTTGTAGGCGCAAATTTCTTGAAAAAAACACTATTTTGTACCTTGTATATAGCACAATTAGTACAATTTTTATCATTATGACATTGCGGGGTCCTCTGGACCCCGATTGCCAGTTTGTGCTGGTAAAATGTTTTAATATCCACGTGACATTATTTACAGTTGGAATATGAAAACTGTAAAAATATTCAGATTATTCGGTGATACTTTTAGTCTATTTAAGAGAATTTCTAGGATGAATTCATTTTTTCACACGGATTTGGAGAAATTTGAAAAATAGATACTTGCGGGGTCTAATGAACCCCGCTTTCCCGTCCAAAGATTAATCAAAGCAGTTTTAATTGATTAATTATTACAGTGCTATAATGTGTAAATAAGTGTTAATTTTAATTGTAAGTGATGTCATTATTTATATAATCTTATTTGTCTATTTCCTTTTTTAATAAAAGTAATTCTTTCAAATACAGAATTCGGATTCAAATTCAGCGATACCAAAAGCTCCGAGTAATGAGTATCAAGCAAATCTAAACAATTTTTAAAATTTTTGGTCGCCATATGGGATTCGCCATTTCTAATTTTCAAAACCTAACATTGAATTCAGATTTATCAACCCCGAAACTCATCAAGTATTGAGGTTCAAGTAGATCCAAACAATTTTTAAACTTTTTGGTCGCCATATTGGATTCGCCATTTTAAAATTCTTAAATTCAACATCAAATTCAGATTATGCGATCCAAAATACTATTTTACACTCATGAAATTGAAATTAAATTTGATTTTGTACGTTTTTTTAAAGTGCTTGTATACAAAGTTCACGATAGAAATACTAAAAATTACTTTTTTCAAAAACAGCCCGATGGATTATTTTAATTTTTGTTGCAAAATACTCAGGGAGGTCTCCAGTGTTGGAATCCACAAAAAAATCGCATTTCGGAAGACTTTTTATTTAAAGTTGGTTCAAGCCCACCGTGGCTAAACAGATAAATTAAGAAATAGTATAAAAAGAGGAAGGTTTAGTATATGCGTTGTTTATTTTTTAATTCATTTCAAGACAAGATTGAAAAGGCTTTTTAAACATTTAAACATTCAGTGAATACAATGTTTCTGATCAGTTTTTATAAGTAATAGACTACTTAAGTTATTCTTCTTAAGGACATCTAATGCTTGCTGAACAATCAAAGAAGGCGGATCTGGTTTTCTCGTCAAAATCCAAACAATTTTGAAACTGAAAAAATAGTAATTGTGTATTGTTAAAATTAAATTTAAGAAAAGGAATTTATCATTCGATAGCAATTATATTAAAGGTGGCATGGTGCGCTTGAAAAAAATTAAATCAAAAGTCAAAACACTTAAAATTTTCTTGTGAATTTTAAAAGTGTTATGTTTATAGATTAAGAAAATCAAAGAATCAAAATATTTCATCGAGGGCTATTTGAGAAAAGCGAATTTGAAATTTTTTTTTAATTTGTTTTATTATTTATTTTTTCAGAAATTCGATTCTAATAAATAAAAAATAAGTACAAAAACTAAAGACATATACGGAAAGTTATAATTTATAAATAAATTACACGTTAACTATGTATAGATTAAATTTATTTAAACCTATTCTTAAAAAATTAAATTCAATAGTCAACCTGTGTAGAAATTTGTCGTGGCCTTCCTAGTGTCAGGCTACAGCTAGACAGTTTTTGTCGTGGAATTTTATTCTCAAATAGCTGTCCTTGTCCCGTAAAGTTAATGTACAGTTTTTATACAGTTTTCCGTTCATTTCTCTCGATATGGAGAATGCCTAGTATTTATCGTAATGTTTGTTTCTTTGTTTTGTAATTTATTTGTATTAATAAAGATTTTTTAAATATACATAATATGTATGTTCATTATTATTAACGTATATAAATATTCAACCTTTATAGGAACGGTATATTTTAATATCGTGGATTTGTCCAGAAACGTTCAATTTTAATAGAAAGAGACTAGACAGCCAGCCTGTATATATTCTAGATGTTTCTAGCGTCACATTCCTAGTTCGCTTCTGCCCAGATTTCCCTTCAAGTTCATAGACAGAATCTAGCGCAACTAGGCAGTTTCTCATATACTTCCACGATAAATTTCTACACGGGAAATTCTATTACAAATATCCGTGTAGAAATTTATCGTGGAAGTATATGAGAAACTGCCTAGTTGCGCTAGATTCTGTCTATGAACTTGAAGGGAAATCTGGGCAGAAGCGAACTAGGAATGTGACGCTAGAAACATCTAGAATATATACAGGCTGGCTGTCTAGTCTCTTTCTATTAAAATTGAACGTTTCTGGACAAATCCACGATATTAAAATATACCGTTCCTATAAAGGTTGAATATTTATATACGTTAATAATAATGAACATACATATTATGTATATTTAAAAAATCTTTATTAATACAAATAAATTACAAAACTATTTCTTACATATCCCAATTTTCCATTCCGGTTAGATTATTATATTTCACGTACATGTTATTCTTGTCTAGTTAGTTGATCATCTAAATTTTCAGAGTTGATATTTTTGATACATTTATCAAAAATAACTTTTTCCTCATCTTTCTATTACCCTTCCAATCTTTGGAATTTGTTAATATACTATTAGGCCAGTCGGTGAGTGCAAAAAGTGCACAAAAGTGCAACTTAAAAAGTCTCAATACACTAGAACCTCCAACGATTGTATCTCTATCTATTGCAGTTGCTTACGAAAGTTTGGTGGTCATCCGCTAGGGGGGTGAGAGGGAAGGACACCGCCATATTAATGCGAAGGCAGTATTGTACTAAGTTTAGTGTTCTTTTGCGCCCCGTTTTTTAAAGTTGTATTTTCATATTTCAACATGAGACTAAAAAAGGTCAAAAACGTAAAAGAACGCACTTAGGCATTGAAACTAAACATAATATTTTAAAAAAAATCAAAAATGGCGAGGATAAAAATGACATTTTACGCCAATACAAAATATGTGAGAGTGTACGGCCCTGAGTGTTGACACTTTTATGGAAAGATGGCGCCAAGGTGAAAACCTCCATCTATTGCACACAAGAAGGTCACGCTGCAATCGTTGGAGGTTCTAGTGTAGTTTCTTGTAGTTTGGGGGCCCCATATAAGAGCCCCATGGTTTGCTCTCGATTTCCGGTTGCAAAAAATAGTGTAAACAATCGTCAAAGTTCGAGAAACGTAGTTTTTCGATGACCCTTGCTTCTGGTTAAATTTTAGAGATAAAAGTTGTTATTGAAAGTTGTAGAGCCTAAAAATACCTTTCAAATGATTGGTCATACGTTGAAAAAGGTTAATTAGTTTAGTTGCAAATGAATTTAAACCATTAAAAATAGCACTTTTTTAATTGTTTAATAACTTTGTTAATAATTATTGAATTTGTTTACAACTCACCAGGAATATTCTCCTTGCGAAGCTGAATAAATTAAAAAAAAGTCAACTCGATCGGACAAATAGTTTATGTTTTAATCCATTTGTTAACTAAAAACATGAAATTTTTCAACAGAATTTCCCCACTTTTGGACCTGCGAATTTCGTTTTTTTTTCTTCGAGAGTACAGTTTAGGAGTCAAACTTTGATTCCATTTAAATGGGAAATTGATTTTTCTTATCTAAGTGCATAATAATAGACGTTAAAAAAGGGTATGTTTTTTTGACATAAACAAATGGAATAACTCAGTCAATTTTCACTTTATCGATTTGGTGTAAAGGGAATTAAATTTCATTCGTTTTCACAAAACTTTTCCAAAAAAAAATCCGACCTAGCTTCAAGGAGGGGGGAGTTAGTTTATTTTTTTCAAAAAATTCCTGACTAGTTAATTATCAATATTTTTTATTGCAATTCATACCACTTATAGTTCAATGTATGTATTTTATGAAAAAAATTTGGACATAAGGTTTTGTGCATTTATTTTTAATTTATATCAAGTAAAAGTAAATGTATCCTTTTTTCAACCTCTAAACGTCGGAGTGGGGTGGGGGTACTCGAAGGAGCGTGATTCTCGCCGCCACAACTCAATTCAGCCTTTCAAATTTGCAAAAATGGTCATAACTTCGTTAATTATTTACCGATTTTAATCATTCTTTTTTTAATTTGATGTATTTTTTTACGCTGAATCCAAAAATGATTTTATACTTTTTCAAAATACAATATTTTTAATAATAAAAACGAAAATTTTTTTAACAAAAAATTTTTAATTATTATTTATAACATTTGACAAAAAATTCTTTTTGTACATATAATTCCATTGAATTCAAAAAAATATTATAACAAAAAAAATTCAAATTAATTATATATAAGCTTGTAGCATCGTTGTATTGATAGTTGAACATGCGTGCATATGTCAACCTAATGCTACAAGCTTGTATATAATTAATTTTAATTTTTTTTGTTATAATATTTTTTTGAATTCAATGGAATTATATGTACGAAAAGAATTGTTTGTCAAATGTTATAAATAATAATTAAAAATTTTTCGTTAAAAAATTTTCTGTTTTTATTATTAAAAATATTGTATTGTAAAAAAATATAAAATCATTTTTGGATTCAGCGTAAAACAATACATCAAATAAAAAAAAGAATCATTAAAATCGGTAAATAATTAACGAAGTTATGACCATTTTTGCAAATTTGAAAGGCTGAATTGAGTTGTGGCGGCGAGAATCACGCTCCTTTGAGTACCCCCACTCCGACGTTCACAGGTTGAAAAAAGGATACATTTACTTTTACTTGATATAAATTAAAAATAAATGCACAAAACCTTATGTCCAATTTTTTTCATAAAATACATACATTGAACTATAAGTAGTATGAATTGCAATTAAAAATATTGATAATTGAGGCTCCGGATCTTAAAAGGGCACACGCGCGAACACACGGCAAATAAGTTGGCCCCTGGAGATAAAATTTTGAAGTTGTTCAAAATGAATTTTAAATTATTGTTTCTTGTACAGAATTTCAAGGCGAAACTTTTTTTTTAATAAAAATTTTTTATATAATTTCTCGTTTTCACGTAAATTGAAAAAACGTGATTTTTTGAGTTAAGAAATTTTAATGAATTTTTGACTTCAACTCGTGACTACTTCGTTAAATATTAATATTTTTCCACGAAATTTACACACAATATTCTTCAAACTATTCCAAGAGTGAAACAATATTTGGAAATTTAAAAAAAAATTGTATGTCAAAGTAAATAATTATTTAAATAATTTTGTCGGAAAAATGATTCTCCTATTTTCAATTGAAAAAGTTGAGTGACGAATTTTCGTTTTCGGAAAACTTTCAGCGACAAAAATGTTCATTAATATGTTAGGAAGTTGTTTGGAAAATATCTCGCTATTTGATAATAAATTAAAGACAATAGAGCAATTTTAACATCGTCGCGCTCTGCTGTAAACGTAAACAATGTCTAACTATATATACATTGGTCTTGTAATGGCGGCCATGCTACACGTGTGCCGCCACGCCGCAATTTTCCAGCAGAGCGCGACGATGTTAAAATTGCTCTATTGTCTTTAATTTATTATCAAATGGCGAGATATTTTCCAAACAACTTCCTAACATATTAATGAACATTTTTGTCGCTGAAAGTTTTCCGAAAACGAAAATTCGTCACTCAACTTTTTCAATTGAAAATAGGAGAATCATTTTTCCGACAAAATTATTTAAATAATTATTTACTTTGACATACAATTTTTTTTTAAATTTCCAAATATTGTTTCACTCTTGGAATAGTTTGAAGAATATTGTGTGTAAATTTCGTGGAAAAATATTAATATTTAACGAAGTAGTCACGAGTTGAAGTCAAAAATTCATTAAAATTTCTTAACTTAAAAAATCACGTTTTTTTCAATTTACGTGAAAACGAGAAATTATATAAAAAATTTTTATTAGAAAAAAAGTTTCGCCTTGAAATTCTGTATAAGGAACAATAATTTAAAATTCATTTTGAACAACTTCAAAATTTTATCTCCAGGGGCCAAATTATTTGCCGTGTGTTCGCGCGTGTGCCCTTTTAAGATCCGGAGCCTCAATTAACTAGTCAGGAATTTTTTGAAAAAAATAAACTAACTCCCCCCTCCTTGAAGCTAGGTCGGATTTTTTTTTGGAAAAGTTTTGTGAAAACGAATGAAATTTAATTCCCTTTACACCAAATCGATAAAGTGAAAATTGACTGAGTTATTCCATTTGTTTATGTCAAAAAAACATA